ATATATATATATATATATATATATATATATATATATATATATATATATATATATGTATATATATTTACAAAAAGATCTAATAAAGCTATTATTTGGAATATTAGATCAATATACATCATCATTAATCATTTAGGAATTTTATATATTTTTTACTTTATTTAACTTAAATTATAGTTTTCTATAAAATCAGAATTAGAACTCAAGAAGAACTGATCAATTCAGCTGTAAAAGTTAGAGTTTTTTTTTGTTTGTTTTTGGAAAAAAAAACAACAACAGATGAAAACAGGGATCCTATCTCAATATCACTGAAGCTATCACCTTTTTTTTTTTTTTTTTTAAACAGAATTTTTTTAAGAAAACAAATTCAATTAATCTAAAGGACCAATCAGAAACCATGTTTGCTCCAGCACATATCATCATTAGAATTTCTCTTAGTATTATGTCTTTAGTACAGGGGCCAGGACATGATCTACAGGGGCACTGTCCCCCGTTGGCCCCTGTCTAGAACTGCCCATGGCTAAAAAATAATCTCAAACTAGTTTCTTGGAAACAACAATATTCTACACTGAGTTTAGGATTTGGTGATCATGAAGGGGGTCCTGGCACATCCGTGATAAAAAATCATGGATATGAAGCTCCAAAAAAAACCCAACAAAGTGGAACAAAATCTGTGCTAAAAGTTTCTGCCCATGTTTGCATTTACAGAAACACTGCAGTTCATAAAGCAAAAGGGGAAGTCACATTGTGCTAGCAAAGTACTTGTCTTCTATTCTCTTCAGCTAAATGCAAACTTTGGTGAAAACAAAGGTTTAGCATTAAAAGCTATTTTTTCTCCAATTTTCATTTGGTTAAGAATGTGTGCCTACAGTTTGTGCTCACAGCAGCCCTGTGCATACTGTACACATCAAAAAAGCTGAATGTAGAGCAACCCATTGAGGTAGAGAAGAATTAAAGAAGTGAAAACCAAAGCTGTAAAGTTGGTGTTCTGCTTCTTTAAAAAAAAAACATCATAGAGAATGCTCCCCCTGCCTCTTGTGTTACAGAAAGCTAATCTCGCCAATGAAATTGGAAATGAATGCAAGTGAATGCAATGCATTTGAAGTGAAGTGCATGAATGTTTCTGCAAACCTGCAAGAAATTCCTCCCATTAAACACTGATAACACATGGTGTGCATAGATGGAGCCTATATATGTTGGCTACATTTCAGGATATGTGCATAAAGGGCTGAATGGCTTCGTCTTTAATTTCCAATAATTCCTGACCGCCCAGTTTATTAATCCTGGTCCCCCTCCGCCCCTCAGTTGGGGTTTTACAGGGAGACTGTGACCTCCTGACCGCCAAGTCGCTGCTTATATTTCATTGCATCCTGATTCTCTGACATGCATGGTGGGGGAAGGGCATAAAGAGGAAGAGGATATGTGTGTGTGTGTGTGTGCGTTGTGTGTATTTGTGGTTGGAGGAGAGGGGGGGTGAGGAATGCTTGGTATGTGCCGACGGACGAAACCAACTCGAGAGGCGAGCAACGCGTCTGATTGAAACACTGTCCAGAGAAACTACAAAAAACAGACAAAAGGTAAAAATATAAAATTCCTCTCACTGCTACATTTTAAAGATATCACCGTCGAAGTGGGAGTTTTGAGTGGGGGAACACGCGGTTATTCTGCTGTGAATCCCCCCCTGCTCGGAGGCTGAGATGGTTCGGTCTGTAGTAGGTGGGACAGCCGAGCGGTCTGCAGCAGGACGTCGTAGATCAATGAACCGGACCGGAGGGTTGGTCCATCGCCTGGTGTGCATCTGATTGTGTTATAGATGTGTCAGTAGTGCACCTATAAGAACCGAGGCTTTATTCTCTCTAAACCAGCCGGTTCATTATGCGGATATTATAGAGGCTCTTTTATAAGCCCCCATCCATCGTCTCTCGGTTTTCTCCCTGGCTCTATTTGCTTTTAGTTTTTTTATTTATTCTTTTTTTTTTTTTTTAAGGGGAGGGGGACCTGAAACACATCTGTAAGCTCCGGGATGATTTTTGCAAACACAGGCAACCCACTGAAGACGACCAATCGAAAGCAGGTAGGCCAGAAAATGACGCTCTAAACTCACATATCATCTTTATTCCCTGATCGCACTTTTTATTTAATATAAATGCTGCTCCCATTTGATTGGATATTTAAACACAGTGAAAATGCCTCCAGGCGCGCGTGACATTGGGATGGCATTCCCACCTCATTCTTTCTATGGCCGGATTAATTAAATTCATTAGTAAACAGATCCAGCGCTCTCAGCAGTTGCCAAGCAGATGCTCTGATATACATGGGGAGATAAAACAGCAGCTGGCCCACATCTATACCCCCCATCCCCCCCATACACACACTTTATGTCCGACTAACCTTGTTTGGAGCCTCTCTCTGGTCAATATGTATGGCAGCAACTGTACTCCATCTAATAGGTTAATGAATTCTGTCTGAATCCAGAGAGGACTTTTTGTCCTGATGTGATGTGCAGCTTGTCAGGCTGCTCCATGGGCTGGACTGTCCCGCCTGCATTCTTCATTTTGACCTCTGAGATCATTACACCTTTTAGATTAGGTGAGGACTGCTTAAAAAAATGGAGATAATGAAGTAGAAGAAAAAAGAAGCAAACTAAAGCTTTGGTTTGCTGTTTATCTCATAGGAATAAATTCCTGCAGGAAATGTGTCTTTTTTTTTATCTTAATTATCTCTAAGATGCCCTTGTGAATGTCATCCTTTAGATGCATGTTTGAAGGAGATGCCCACCCTTAGAGAAAAGTTCAGAACCACATGCCAAGAAATTAGAACCTCACAAATGTCACTGCCCCTCAAATTCTTCTTTTTTTTTTCAAAATAACTCATCTAAATAATTGTTCTGTTGTTCTTTTTTTATTTTACAGTCTTGTGTGCAGTTTTATAATCACTGGCTCTTGAAGATTGTCCTCTGGTTGTAGACAGATGGTGTGATTCTGCCTTTGATCTGATTGGGGTGGCTGGGAGCGATTTTAATGAATGAGTAAAGGGAAGGAAATGCTTTGCAGGGCAGTGTGGTGTGTGTGTGTGTGTGTGTGTGTGCAGAGTGGCTTACGAGCATGAAGAAAGCGGCATGTTTCTGGGGAATGCCACAGCAGGATGTAATAGTTAAAAACGCCAATTTAATCACAATGTGATTCATAGACTCCCTCTTGCATAAGAGGAAATCTTTCCCTGTGGCGTTTTTGTTGGGCAGAATCATATTTTTGGAACCGCTGGGAGCTTAAATCAATTACTTACATCTGAGGTTGTAAAACAAAAAGGAATCATATTTAAACCTAACAATGTTCTTTCTGTAAGACTTTTGGAAACATAGTGAAGCAAGAAAATAAATGACCCCAAATTCCTCAAAGTTAGCACTTGGCTCACTCTTCCTCCTCCATTGTACACGTATAACAGGATGTTAGGCATTAATATGCAATGCTTTACCAACAACTCCAGCTTTTAACACTGTAGGAAATGACATTTGTGTTTTCCGTGCCTCCATCCTACATGGCTAAGATGTTCTTGTAATTGCTGTTGGTCTGGGTTTTAAATTAGATTATCTGAAGGCCATACGCATCTTAATAGCAGGTTTCCTGTGTGCAGTCCTACCCCATGACTCCGTCCAGTCCCAGCAACAGCAGCAACAGCAGCAGCACAGGCCTGGAGCAGCTCAGCAAAACCAACCTGTACATCCGCGGCCTGCCTCCTGCCACCACAGACCTGGATCTGGTCAAACTCTGCCACCAGTAAGTACATACTGTACACACATACATGCTGAAATTAGGTGAGCTCAGTGCGAAACGAACAATAGAATAGAATAGAATAGAATAGAATAGAATAGAATAGAATAGAATAGAATAGAATAGAATAGAATAGAAAATCCCTCTAATGTCCCACAATGGGGAAATTCTGGTGTTTACAGCAGCAAAAAGATTATAGATAAAAATGGTCACAGAAATGTGGACCTTAGAAAAATGTACAAGAATAACATAATAGTGAAGAGTTAAAAAAATAAATGATAACATACTGCACTGTAAAGTGTTTAACAATATAAAACTGTGCACATGGAGAATAAAAAAAACAATATAAAGCTATGGACATTTTTACAGTAACGGATATTTGAAAATAGCAGCAACGTCAGAGATGTGGAAAATAACAGCAGCATGTTATTTAACTGACTAAGGTAGAGAATGCTTATGTGCTTGTGTTTGATATAAATCTTTGCGTGTGCATGTGTGTAGGGGGGTTGTTGGTTAGTTGGTAAGTTTCATTTTATCTCCGTGGCAAATGTTAAACTTAAGTAATTCTGAATTAGTTTTGCTTTACTTTCAGAATGATAAATGCATGTCCTTTCCGGCAGGAAATACAGCTGATATAATGACTTCCCTGTGAAATTAAAATAACCCTTTTTTTTTTTGGACTGTTCGCTTCAAAAGATACACCATTAAAAGTGGGTGTAAGACGAAGAATCAAGACAAGTTAGAATCTACTCTAAAACTGCGATGTTACCTAAAAACTCTTAATAGTTTCACATCAAGCAAACCAATGTTATATAAAGGTGGAATAGTCATTTTTTGTAGGCAGTGCAGTATATGACTTCTTGATTCAATTAAATTTGTAAAAAACAAAAATTTCATGTTATTTCAGAGGTGAGATGTTCATAATCCCTGCTGTTAACCAAATATAGCTTTGTTTTTTAATCTTGATGAGAGCAGATAAAACCATGGTCGCCAAAAAGGTGCCAAAGTTGCCACATTTTAAATATCATAGACTGGTTTGGAGAGAAGGGTATAAACGATCCTATGGAATTATGTTTGATGTTCTTCTTTTTTCAGCTATTTTTCTGGGCTTGGTGCTAAGCTAAGCTAAAAGGTGCTGGTTGTAGTTTCCATTAAAGCAAAAAAAAAAAAAAGGGTCAAATTTGAGAAATGTTAAATTTGTTATGCAAAATATTTGCAGAATTTCGCTGCTCATAAATGTTTGTTTATACCAAGTTGGTTCTGGCTTATTTTTCACATTTTTTATGTAACATCTACTGAAAGAAAGGTGAGGTTTATATAAATTAAAATTAGATATACAATAATTCCATATATATAATGGCTTTCCAGAATAGAATAATCTGTTTAAACTATCCTGTTTATTGAAGAGGGCTCAAACATCCATGGGTCTATAAATGCACATAAGGTAAAGCATGAGCTCAGCACTGGTATGTGCTGAGCTGTAAAGCATATTGTTCTCTAGAGAAAAAATAGCAGTCCAGTGAACCTATTACACACAACCTGATACTAGCGGCTTAAGTCCGAGCGGTTTTAATGTGGTGGATGTCATAATTAGTGGAGTTTTGTTGTGGCTTTTCCTTTTAAATCAAACACATATTGGAAGTAGAGGCGCTCAGCCATATAACCAGCAGCAGCTGTTTGTGTCCTGTTTGCCTGTGTTTTGTTCTTGTTCCCAATGGTGTTTGACGGCACAAAAGCAGAAACGAAAGCGCTTTTCATAGCAACAAGCCCTGCATGCTGAAATGACCAAGACATTTAGTGTGCGTGGCCTTCATATGCATGTTGCAGGTCAAAGTTCGTCAGACATCCCACTCAGACATAAAAGCCTGAAGTGATCAGATTTCACTAAGGTTTCAGGAAAACATGTTAGGCGTGTAGCTCATCTTCATGAACATTACAGCTTTTTTTTTTTCCAGCTTGAAAAGGGGATTTTATTCTCCTTTTTTGTGGACACACACCAGGAGCACTTCTATGATCCACACCTACAGGGGTCCTTGGCCCCTTATGGCATTTATTTAATTATATACATTATATTTGCGTGGAAAAAAATGAACCCAATTAATCCCTTTTTTTCTAAGAGCCAAATGGGAACCTTTGTATTCACTGTTTTTGTATGCCCTTAAATCTGACGCACAAACAACATCACAAGTGGTCCACTAGAGGTATTCTCATTGCAACTTATGTTGCAACAAGCTAAGATGTTTGCAAAACTAATATCATTGTCCAATTAGGGCACACATTCTCCCGCCAGGTTACATCAGACTACATGATTAGCTTTAATGGCAACATAAGTAAATCTAGGTATGAAGAACTAAACAACATCTCGATGAAGTGGGTTGCAACATGACTTGTTTGCCTTAGTAAATGGCTTAAGGAAAAATAAAGTAGCCTCAGTGGGAGATTTAAGCTTCTAAAAGCAAAGGTTTATTCATCGCTCCGCTGTCATAGTCCTGTTGTCGGCATTAGATTTAAACTTTAATTTCTGTTCATAGTAAATGTTAAAATCTTAAGGGCAATATTATTGCTATGTTTTATATTTTTTTTATTTTTAATGGAAGACATTGTGCTCTCCTTAATGTTCATGGACTGTTCACACTTGTAAAGAAGTAGATTTTCCTAGAACTTGCATAAAATATCAGCTAAATGATGACTTTCAACCAATCTGATGTTTGCTCATGTCTTTTTATTCAACAATTTAGGAGCAAAAAGGTTTGTTGAATTCAAGGAGTCGTTTATTATGTTAATATATGGTTCACGCAAACAAAAAATTTAAATAAATCCAAACACTAATACATATATTTTTATTGAGTTGCTATCAAGTATTAAAACTTCATTAGAACCCAAATTTTTGTACAGCTTTTGAATGGGAATGTTCTCTGTATTTTTTTGTAAAGGTCACAAGTTAGGACATTTTCCCTCCAAAAAGCTTTAACTGTGTGGTTTTTACTTTTGCAAAAGCACGGTTACCATGGTAACAGCATGTGATAGAAAGATGAGAGCTGGAGTGTGGAGGGTTAAGCAATGTGACTGGTTTTCTATAGAGACAGAGCGATACATCAGCTGATCGATATTTTGGCCAGTATTAGCATTTTGTTTATTTTATTTTTATAAGCATCAGCCGATCTGTGCAGGTATTGGCCGATTCATTAGTGCTTTCAGGCAGCTATGTCTTAAGCTAAAGCTCACACATTTCTGACCCCTCCATTTTTTTCCATTATTAATGTTTTGTTTGATTTATTAACACATTTTTTGTTGCCTAAATTGAGACTAGTGTTACAATTATTAATGTGTTTTTCTTATATTGTAAATGGATGAAAAAAAGTGGCTTTAAAGGTTGAACTTAAAAGTCTACAGCACATATCAAGAACTGTTAGACTGATGTAAATATAATCTGTATCAGCATCATTTAAAAAAAAAGAAAAAAGAATGTATTGGTCAATCTCTTATTTTTTGCACATCATAGAACAGGTTACTTCCCTTGGAAAATGGCATAAAGGTTTTAGGGTTGTTAACATCAATTAGTGACGCTCACTGGTGTCTGTATTTAGGCCTTGTTAGATGAGTGTTCTTTGAGAGTAATCTGCATTTTTTTGTATCTCCAGGTATGGAAAGATTCAGTCGGCAAAGGCGATTCTGGACAAGACGACTAACAAGTGCAAAGGTCAGTGAGCTCATCTGTTTCAGTTATGCATAATTAATATATTTAGACACATATTAATTGTGATTAAGCATTAAGGTAGTTTATACCTTTGAAGTTTAAGATGAAATGTTCATTTTTCCTTTTTTATTTGACTGAATTGTAGTACATTTCAGACAGTAGCTGGTTTGCATAAATTTTCTGTAGGTTATAGTTATTTAACTCGATAATCCATCTTTTAATCCGCCACTGTTGGGGCGACAATGGCGTTGGATGTAGGAGTTTGCCCTGAAATGGAAGGGTTGACGGTTCAAGCCCAGAGTACGACCTTCAGTGTCGTTGTGTCCTTGGGCAGGACACTTCACCTGCATTGTCTACTGATGGTGGTCAGAGGGCCCGGTGGCGCCAGTGTATGGCAGCCCCGCTTCTGTCAGTGAGCCCCAGGGCAGCTGTGACTACAATGTAGCTTGCCACCATCAGTGTGTGAGTGTGTGTGTGAATGGGTGAATGAATGTAGTGTAAAGCGCTTTGGTCAAGTCTCCTTACTTGAATAAAGGCGCTATATAAGTACATGCCATTTACCATTTTAAAGACAATTGCTTCAGCTTCCTTTCTGGTCAAAATTCAGCTGCTTCTCATCGCAGTAGACTGATTTAGACAAAATCTTTGCTGAGCCCCACTTCCATGGTAACAAAAGTTTGACAAAAATAAAAGCAGATTAAAATGGATTATCCCAGACAGACAGATTTAGAGGATCCACAGACACATTTTATCTCCTCATGGATTCAAACAGAAAACAGAGAATGACTTTATTAAGGAGAACAATAAGGACCATACTTGATAGTTAGAAAAAAATGGTGTATTTAAGCAAAGGTATAGTTATAGTAAGTAATTAGCCCTTATATACATTTCAAAAGTGAATATATTGAAATGTCTTAAATACTGAGGTGAAAAAGTGCACATCTTCCAGGATTGGTTGCACAACAAATAACATGTACCAAATCTGTATGGACCACCCTATTAAGATGCAGATATTTAATGTGCTGCTTGGTGTTACCACGGAAAATTTGGTGGATCGGATTAGATTTGTTTTGTGTCTCCTGTTGTTAATGCAGCTGAAATTTGCAATTCGAAATTCTCTTCCCAGTGGAGTTCAGGTTATTATAGCTGCAATGTGTGACCAATAAAGCATATACACTGCAGTGAAGGGATGCAGTTTCAGAAAGTCTTCTCACGTAAACGCGATTGTTGTACCAGAGCAAACCCTATGAGGCTAGTACTAAGAGCGCCATTAATGTCCTCCCACTGAAGTAAGATTTTAGAGCAACAGTTAAATTATCTTCTAGCAGATGTTCATGGATGTCCTACGTAGTGTAGGGTGGGTACAACAAAGGTGGCGACAAGTGCTCTTATTTTGAAGGGCAATGATTGCTATTCTCTAGATCTGAACCATCCTTGGGACATCCAAATCAGTCAAATCTCCGCTTTTTCATTCATTCCACCTTTATTTATAGAGGTAATCTCATTTAGATCCAAGATCTAATTTATTAAGAGACGCCTGTTTGCTGAAACACAACAACAATTAAAAATCATTCGACAAACATAGTAACAATACAAGTAAAGCGTGCGACTTATGCAAGGTGCATTAGATCATTTCTCATTTTGACTAAAAGGAAATGTAAATTATCCCAGAGAAATCGGTGTGGATATTTTCAGCAGAGAAAACGGTGCATAATAATAAAATACCTTTTGATCTAATGAAACGCTGAAGGAGAGGAAGTCCTGAGGCTCAGGGTTCTAGCTGGACTGTCTAAGTCACAGTGTCTTGGACTTGGAAAAACCTGGTGACAGATAATGTTGCCTTCATCACAAAAATCAATACAAAGCAAACAGTCATGATATTCTACCTGCTGCTTTTTATTTAGGGTCATTTGAAGCCATACAAATATTTCCGTAGTACTGATTTCTCTGTTATATTGACATTAAAAACAGTTTAAACTATTGATTCTTCTAATGATTTAATGACTGATGTCAGAAATATTGTTCCTCAAACATCAGGTTACGGCTTTGTGGACTTCGACAGCCCAGCTGCTGCTCTAAAGGCAGTGCATGCTCTGAAAACCAGCGGCATTCAGGCCCAGATGGCCAAGGTAGGTCTGATAGAGGCATGCCTACATGTCTGTTTTTGTGTGCAAACTTCTCATGCTTATGAACCTTTCTTTGGAGTAGTTGTGCTTATTTGACTGTTTGCATTCTTCTGTTTTGCGTTTGATGACATAAAAATATTCACCTGTTCTCAGCTGACTTGCTCATCCTCCTGTGATCCAATTGAAACGATTGATCAGTAACCAATCGTGTTTGGTCTAATAACATTGATTTCACAGTTTTAACGATAATGGCCGTGAGATATGCAAGCAGCTTTAAAGATAAATGATGAAAGGAAAAACAGGATATTAATGTATTATCTTAAATTATTTATCACAAATTTCCCGGAGCATGACATTTCTTTTAGTCCTGTGGTTTTTTTCCTGCATGCGTGCATTGCAGTGTGAGAGTTCAGTGATGAATTGCTGCTCTCGGGAGACCTGCATGTGGCTGCTCCGCTTGTATCAAACATGGCAGAACACTAGTTGTGTGTTGCAGTAGCTATGGCGACGCCGCACTCGTGCTGTTTCCAGGAGAGACCGTAGAGGCGCTGAGCTGCTGCTCAGAGCGGATGAAGAGGGATGCACTGCGTGTGGTTTTATGTGGATGTGTGTGTGCAGAAGAGCTTAAAAAATGTTTGTTTAACCAAAACGTTCCTTTGACCAAACTTGAGTCAGTGCTCTGAGTCGACCATATGTCAGCCAAGATAAAGTGCATTATCTGTATTTTTTTTGTAAAATCCTAACGCTCTATCCTAATGTTTCTGAGCAGCAGCAGGAGCAGGACCCCACGAACCTTTACATTTCCAACTTGCCTCTCTCGATGGATGAGAGGGAGCTGGAGAAGATGCTGCAGCCCTTCGGCCAGGTCGTCTCCACTCGAATCCTACGGGACTACAGCGGTAACAGCAGAGGCGTGGGCTTTGCCAGGTGTGTCACAGGATAGACTGAGAAGAAACACATCCGCTTCTTGTCTGATGAATCACCTTTGAAGTAGCTGTGGAATAAGCCTTCAGCAAAATGTTCTCCATGTGATCTGGTATTAAGCTTTGTCTATTTGTAGCTGATGTTCCTACATAAAAAAAGAGGACTGGAAAAACAGCGATCTGTGGGGGAAAAAAAAAAAGATCACTCTACATCAAAAGCCTACTTTTAATGTTAAATTTCTTTGAAAGAAGCAAGCCAAATGTGAAAGTAAAATATTTAGCGTGTAAACCAAGTAGTTTTGCAAAACATGTACCCTTTTTAAAAGATGCTGTCCCCACAGGATGGACACGACGGAGCAGTGCAACGCAGTCATCTCCCAGTTCAACGGGAAATTCATCAAGTTAGCTTCTGGAGCTCTGGGTAATGAAAGTATCACTCTTCTCTCCATCTTGTATCGAGAGGCATAATTACAATTAGTTCATGCTATGTGTCTGTTTTCATTTTGTGCGTTTGTCTTCCAGGCCCATCTCAACCTCTGTTATGTAAGTTTGCGGACAGTCAAAGAAAGAAACACGCTCACAGTGGATATGTGCCCAATGGACAGTCAAGCGATCTCAGACTAGTATGTATAATTTTTTTTTACCTCAACACCTTTTGTAGTATTGCTTTATTACTATATGATTATAACCTATTCAAAAACACTGTACATTTAGAAATATTTTTTGTTATTCAAAATTAGACTTCCATCTACCGAATAATGGGTCTGTAGTGTATGTATTTAAACATCACCTGTGTGTTCATCACCTGTTTAAAGTAGGGATGCACGATATTGGGATTTTGGCCGATATCCGATATGCCGATATTTTAAAACTCATGTAGCCGATAACCGATATCGATACCGATGTTAAAGCTGGACAAAAATAAGTAGTCATTGAAAATAGCAGTTTTGTTATCCATTTCTGACACTTATAATCAAATATGCTGATATGATGCTCATATGCTGATATCAAATAGATTTTTTAAAAACGCGGTATCGATCTATTTTACTTTCAAAATCTCGTGAAATTTCATCGTTCTGTTACAAACTCTCGTGATATTTTGCAAATTATTGTGAGAATTTTTTTAGTAAAATAGATCGATACCGCATCAATATATCAACATATAAAAATATGGCAAAATTTCGTGAATTTTTGAGGGAATTCGTAGCATAACGATGACATATAGCAATATTTCATTAGTAAAAGAGATTGATATGGTGTTTTTAAATGGCAATATATCAGCATATGGAGATATTTTAATGTATGAATATTTTTTCCCTCATCTTTAGAAGTTTTTAAGTCTGTAAAAAAGAAGTTTTTGAGGAAGAAGAAGAAGTAGTATTTTTTTTTTTTTTTTTAGAGTTTAGAAACTCAGAAGCTGATCAAATATCAGGTTAAATATCGGTGGGGTGGCCGGTGTCCGATATTCAGTTTTAAGGCCGATACAGGCCGATACCGATAGGGGGCCGATTATATCGTGCATCTCTAGTTTAAAGGAGCAAAGAATTTTATGAAAAAAAGTTATAATTGAGTGATTCCAAATGTTTAATGAAAGTGATGCAAAAATGGGACTGAAAACTTTATACAAATGAATCCTAACTGAATGTTCCCACCAGGAGAGCGCAGAAAAGAAATATGTAATATTTTAAGAAAGTCTAATCATTAAGCACTAGCTGGATATTTTTACATAACTATATTATTGGCATTCTTTCTAATGAAAAAAAAACTTAAAATCAAGTTATAAATTTAAAATGTTTTACAGCAGAATAAAACTTCCAAGGAATAAATTACAGCCTTTTTTTTTTTTTTTCAAATTGTGCTACATGTGAGTGCTATATTGTAGGCTTATAGAAAGATGGTCTTGGGTCTGAATTCTAGCTGGGACCCACTGGATAAAGTTACTGAGTTCTTGTTATTCATACATAAACACAGTGGATCATTTTGAGGTGCTTGACTTCATCTTACAGTCCAAAAGCATATTAGGTCAACTGGCAGCTCAAGTTTGCCTTCAGGGTGTGAGTGCGCATGGTTGGACATGCGTACTCACAGAATGTCTGTGTGTTACATCTTTTAAGTATGTGCAGAAAATAATTAAATTCAGGGTCTCTTATTTCACACATTTGTTTCCTTGAGAATCTGTTCAATCGCCATTAGGACAATATTTTGTAAACACTACTGACCGCTGTCCAGTGGTTTAAATGCATGCAAATCAAACAATCCAAAGTCAGCATAATGAACTCTATCAGTCGAGGAGATTACTGCAATTTCCATGATTCTTAGATTCTTAGAGATCAAGGTTGGATCTTAGAAAGGCTAAAGGATTTTAAGTTGTCTTTTTTTTTTTTTTATTTGTCCTCTGTGCTAACAAGCTTGTTGATGTTTCACTCCAGAGTTTGGTAGTTTTATGACCTTTGCAGCTTGCTTTTCCTTTCATTGTGGCTTAACTGACTGGACTTTACTGTCCGTGTTGCGTGGGAAAGTCCGTACTCCTCTCATTCACAAATCTGATCTTTAGCTGCAACTCTCTCTCCCCTACTGTGTGTCGGCGAACCCACTTGCAAATCTTCGTTATATTTTTGCAGAAGAAATAAAACGTATCTTTCATTACACTGGTTACAGATATCATAAAAATTTGCTTTTCTTAAATTGTTATATAAATATTAAATTTACTTTCTGTGCTTTGCAATTTATTTACACAGCAGTAAACTACTAAACCCATTTTCTGTCAACATTTTAAAACAGTTTTGTGAGATGAGGTGATGCATGTCATTAGGGAAGGGGGATGTTTGAAAAAACATATACAAACCACAATAATGTTTGTTTTTGGTTGCCATAGGGTGCAATGACTTTGACTTATGACCCCTCCACAGCAGCCATACAGAACGGGTAAGTTACCCCCTCGTGATAGAAGTTTGTCAAGTTTAACACATTTTTTATGAAAATAGCTAAAAGTAACTTTGCGTTAAGGGGATTTTAATTTGCTCAAGCAACAAGTTTTACTTTGAAATGCCCTTGGGATTTTATGAACAATATTTAGTCCTTCATTTCTCTTAAATACAATTTCCACTCTCACTTCATATTAAAAGATATTAATCCAAATGAATTACTTGATAACTTAATGGTCTGATCTCCCCCTTAAAAACATTGCTATGCAGGCATTCATTTATGCATGATGCTGATGCCAACATTCCTCTTTACAATCTCTTTTCTACGGAGCCCCTCTGATGACATGGTCAAAAACATTTTTTTATTGTGGCCACGAAGTAGTATTTCGTGCGCACGAAATACTACTTCGTGGCCACGCAATAAGCTTAACGTGCGCACAAAATACTTATTAATAATATAATTCCTGGACAACTGGGTAAGCAAATCGAGCGCGCCTTAGACCTTAGAGAAGGCACGCTTTCTAACACTGACTGAACCTTTAAAGTTATTGTTATCAATTGATTTACATACTTATTTTACATTTTTCAGCATATATAATAACAGATACCATAACATTTTGCACTCCCAAACATCAATTTATTTAAGTTTTTCTGACACCTTTTCATAATTACAACAATTCTACTGATGAAATGCTGTTAATTATATATTTTTTGTTTTTTTTCTATAGGTACTATCCCTCCCCGTATCCAGTGACCAATAGAATAATGACTGTGCAGCCTGCAATGTCTCCGTACATGTCTCCTGTCTCTGCTTACCAGGTACTCAAAGAGTCTTCTTAAAATATCCCCATACAAAACCATAAATAACAAACAAGCAAATTTTGTGTCCTTTCGCCTCACCTTTTATTCTGATGCTGTTGGTGTGCACGTCAGGGTGCGGCTTAAAATTCATGAGTGTGTTAGGGTTTAGTTGTTTCCCATATGCTCAGGTGCTAGATGTGATCGAAAAGGTGTTAAACCATAGCTGAAACACTTAGCAGTATTTTGTCACAACAGATTGTTACTTCAAACGGTGCAAAGCAGCATGAACAGATACAGGATCTGTCAGTGATCTCTGTGTTTGCAGGAAGAAATAATGAAGTATTCTCTACTTAATATTAATACACAATAATACATCTCAGTTCTACCAAAACTATTTCCTGCTCCAAACTTGAAGATGAAGGATGATTTTGTAGAATTCTGTTTCTCAGGTTTGCAACATAAAATTGTTTTTGTTTGTTTAAAAAACATTTTTTTATTTGTTAAATCTATTTGCTAGATGTTTATTATCTATTTTTCATTTTGATTTTAAACGTAGTAAGACTTTGTAGTCCATTATAGTACTAGTATTGACCAGTACTATAATAGTGATGTCAGCATGCCCGATTTAATTGTAAGCATTAATTTACATTTTGTATAAAATAACACAAGCACACATAAAATCAAGACAAACAATTTGACCAAAAAAAAAAAAAAAATCTATTTCCTATTTTTTAAGGCATTGGTTAAGAAGGGAAAGTCTCCTTAAATGGAAAAAAAAAAGCAATTACCTAATCCCCAAAAGTGTTTAAATCAGTTGGATCTTTACATACAAACAATTTCTTCTCCTTAAAACTCCACATCTGTAACTTTACAACCAAAAACTTTTTTTTTTTTTTTTTTTTCATCCAGAAACATAAAGCAATGCTGAATTGTGAAGTGGATAGAAAACCGGTCCAATTTTTTTTTTCAAATAAAAATCAGAAAATTGAAACATTTGCCTCCTTTATGCTGGTGCTGCAGATTTGATACCATTAAATGTGCTAAGAAGTCACATAATTAGTTTATAAACTCCACTCGTGTGTTATTTAATACTACTGTTATATTTCTGGACTCAGAAGGTTGTTAGAAAATATCACTGAACAAACTGCGTGACCATCTACTGGAACTGAAGGTTTGACAAGAGAAGCGTTAACCAGAGAAGCAGTCATAGAGGCTAAGGGTTACTCTAAGGGATCAGCAGAGAGCAGCAGCCCAAGTGAAATAATCTATTGATAGTGCACTCCATTGATCTGGTTTTTATGGTGTAAGAAGATAGACAATTTTGAGCAAAAGACGCACTGTTTAAAGTTTGTTACAAGCCATACAAAAGGAGCATCAAAATGTGGAATTATGCTGTGGATAATTAAGATCAATCTGATCTTCTAAGATCCCAAGCTTGGTTTATACTTGACCTGTCCGCAAGGTCTGTGCGGCCAAATTACAGAAAGTGCACATTTTCAGGGTTTAAACTGCATCACTAGTTGAAGGCAACCCCATTTGCATATCCTCCTCCCAGTATTTTGCAGGTTCTGACAATCAGCATGTATTCTCCATATTTATGGAGCTAAACGTGGTAAATTTTGGGTGCTTATGTTTAGTAGATCGGCTGGCTTTTTATACATGCAAACCTTCGGTTGATTATGTTTGAAAGGAAACAGGCACATTGAAGCTTGTCACAGTTGATTGTCAGACAGTTGTAGCTAAACGTAGGTCAGATCTGTGAGAAAACGATGCCATGCTATTAGAGAGGACGTTCACCTTCCAGCAGAAGCTCAAGCCTAAACATGCAAATATATTCATGCTGAGGCAAAGTCCAGACCTAAACTAAAATGTAAATATGTGGCTAGACTTAAAAAATGCCACCCAGAAATCATTGGTGTTATGTAAGTGAATATAGTGTGGAAAAGCAATGCTCCCTACACATTTTTATTTTTAATTGTAGAAATAATAATAAAAAAATCAAATGATATTGCCCATTCTATGTACTTCTGAATTGCACCCTTCTTTGCTTTAGTCTCTCACATAAAATCTGAATAAACTATAACATGATAAAATGTGGGGAACTGGTACATAAACGCTTTTGTAACTCTGTACATGTGCTATGTGTCTTCGGTTGTTAATAACCGGATCTATTCTCTTTGATTATTTTGTACATAAAATTAAATCTTGAAACACCACCAGGATCACAGCCTTCATGTTGTGAAAGTGAGTATTATAAATGCACAATTTAACTTTGTCTCAGATTAATTCCACATTAGTGGCATTTCAAAATAAGTCAATTTTCAATAAACACTTTACTGTTACACCAAGACCAGAAAGCCAAGAGCCCTCTGGTTGATTCAATCAGTCTAAAACTCCATCTCCATCCATCTTCTGCTGTGAAACAGCAATATGTGCAAATAAAAGCTTTAAATAAGTCATACACAAGAATCAGGAATTCACATTTTCTCTCGGTTCTGACAGTCAAAATCCTATTTTCTTCATTGAGTAAAAAACAAGGTTGTAAAACTACAAAAGAACAGAAGCAAAAACAAAACTGTCAAGAAAAACAACAGGATAAAAGAAGCCGACATAAACTCAACAAACAGAGAGATGTCTGCTTTTTTTGCATACATAGATACATTTTCCTCCAACTCGAAATGGCAACCTCAAGGGGGAGTTTACTGGGATAATACTACATTAAGCTGGATCCATGCGACGTCTGAGAGCATCTGGATGTTTAAACTACACAATAAAACATGCCTACTGTGAAGATGTAAAACATCCTAAAGTGGAGAACTTCAAAAACCAATAAAATCTTCAAAGTAACATCAAATCATCTAAAAGCTTAGGGGAGGAATATCTGTATTGATGTTAAATGCTTATAGTTTTGAAGATCAGAAGACTGCATTTTTTACAAGTTGTAAGTGAAGAAAGGGGGATTTCCTGTATCTTCTTATATTTTACCAGGTTTTCTAACAGAGGACTGATTCCATAAAGCCCAAGATGAAGCAGTTAGCGGCTCTGGAAATATAAAAAAAACTGCATTTTATTCAGGTTGTCAGTAATGCAGTGGCAGCAGATGATTAAAATGAACATGAATGACTAATCATACTAAAACAGCTCCACAGAAGCTCCTTCTGGGAAACAGTCTTACACATTAAGGCTGAAGCGTTTGGGCTGTTTAAGGCAGGATTGGTTACTTTAAAAGTCATACCCAGATAGAAGTATTTTTCTTATGTCTATTTTTTGATTTGCGTACATGCATACAATCTGTTATTACATCTGATTGTCTGTAACATGAATATGTTTTATCTTTTCTGTGTCTCATGATCTACCCTACTTTAGGTTCAGAGTCATTCTTGGGTGGCACATCAACCATACATCATGCAACACCCAGTAAGTGAACAAAACATATAAAAACTGTGGCCCAACACTATTTCTGCTTACAGGAAATGGGTGTGTTTGTGTGTGTGTGCTGCAGCTGAAGCTAAAGGTTTAAGCCCATTGCTGTTTGCTCTTATTCAGCCCTTTCTGCTGACACAGTCAACCCAACATTCAAAGTTCCCTAAACATAATGTGTGGAAAGACCAAGCTGACAGGCTGTGGGATACAGGCGAGTGTGTGATGGAGAGAGCAAAGAAAGAGAAAGGAAAGAACTAAGCCGACAGCCAGCCCTCCCTTCCTCTGCTCCGTCATTGTGGATCCAGCAGGAAATGCCTGAAGCAGAGACAGTCTTGTGACTCTTTGACTTTTCCAACAGATGGTTTCCACTGGAACAAGTGTCTGTGCTGCTCTGCCCCCTGCCCCCCCACCACACACACACATAGAGTTTCTGTTGGGAATGAACTGTTCCCGAAAGGCATTAATGTTTAAAGAGGCACACTCCATTTGAAAGTTGACAAGCTGCCAAATGAATCCTTTCAGTAGATTCTGAGTATTAAATTTGACTTGGTTAATGAGTATATGCTCAGAGGTGTTGAGAGAAAGCTGTTAGTTTTGGTGGTTTTTGGACCACACTTGTAGATTTTAGGTCATTGGTATATTTCTGCCTCTTTCTGTTGTGTTTGTTGCTAGGTGTTTATTTCTGTTATTAGAGAGCTGCTGGTAGAGAGAGTTGCCTGGCTGTGTGGTACGCTCTGTATCATGTGACATGGTTGTTAAAGCTGAACTGCCTTGTATCTCAGGCTGCTGTGATGTCTCCCTCTGTGGATCCCTCCATGTCAATGCATCCCACAGCTATGATTACTCAGCAGATGGGCCAGCTGTCGTTGGGAAACACAGGAACGGTACGTAGGACCAACTTCATCACTTAAAAGATTTTCAGATTTAACCATTTCATTATTTAAAGATCTAAAAAAACATATTTAATTACTGTTACCTTGAGGAATTTTAATTTGGGAATTTTGAGCATAGAGGAAATTGTTTCTCTGACATTCAAACCAAAACAGGAGTTCATGCAATAAAAAAAAACACACAAATTCTTATTTTTTTTTTTTTGACATATAACATAACAAACCATTTCTTAAAGTATGCATGATGGAACAGAGAGCACTACCTCCAGTGACAATATGTACTTTTTACTGGTTATCACCTTAACCGTCCCATCTTAGCAGATAAAAGTAACATTTAAAAAAGGCGATTGTGCACCAAAGAGAATACTCTTTTTAATAAAACTTAAACTGTACCTCAGCTTTGTCCATATTAGGTCTTATTAGAGTTACTCACAGTTGATATGTATTATAGGCCTTTCTCAAGTAAGACTACTAGCGATCCGTTATTTTAATTTTCCTTAAGTAAAAGTAAAAAGAACAGTGCAGCGAAACTACTCCTAAATACATTTTAATCGAAAAGTTAATGAAGCAAATGTCACTGAGTAAAGGTTACTAGCAACTACCCACGCCTGAGGTTTCCTGCTTTTTGCTTTTAACTGAAATAGTGGGTTTGTGTGAAGAGGCCATAAATGGCAGTGCTGAGTTATATTTCTACTCTGAAATCAAAACTTTTTCATAAAATAAAATGGCCTTGAATTCGTTTATACGATTGAGTCGGTTCAAAATCCCCAAAATGCAAAGTGGCTGCCACACATGTTAAACATCCATCCATTTTCTAACACGCTTAGTCCCAAGTGGGGTCGCGAGGGGTGCTAGTGCCCACGGGCGAGAGGCAGGGTACACCCTGGACAGGTCGCCAGTCCATGGCAGGTTGTTTTTGGACTGTGGGAGGAAGCCAGAGTACTCAGAAAGAACCCATGCATGCTTAGGGACAACATGCAAACTCAGACCCAGACCCAGAACCTTCTTGCTGCATGGCAGCAGTGTTACCCATTGCACAACTGAGCAGTCCCATGTTAAACATATTCTCCTTTTTTGCCATTTTGTAGGTTTTATCTCAGTAAAGGCAAGTTCCGTGCTGTCACTGAAAGTATTGGAGCCTTTGTTATATAACAGCCCCTTCACGCTGCCTTTAGTGTCGATAAAGTTGGAAAACAGTGTAAAAGAGTTTAAGATTCATACATCACCCTTCTACGGGCACTATAGCTTACACAGTAAGTCATAAAGTATTTTATTTTTGTATTTGTTCTTCTGTATTTTACAGTACATTGCTGCCAACCCAGGGGTCCAGGGAGCCTATATGCCTCAATACCCCCCACTGCCGCCAGCAGCTGTAAGTTCTCTGTGAAATCATTCTTTATCATGCAGTCCCCCTCCACCCAGCATCCGTTTAAATCCATTGCATCTAAAAACAGTAATTACTTCAGAAAATGACAGCAGCCTATGCCTTGTCCAGAAGTCCTCCATTCATAAAAGCCTTGGGTTGTTTTTGAAGCGTTCGTCCCCCCAAACCATCAATTTTCTCACCCAGAGGGCGGTTATTATCAGTCTCTAAAGTAGAGATGCTGTTCTTGCTTTGCAGGAAAACGGCACGCTGCAGCAAGTGGATTCATCCAATAACTCGTCTCCCTACAGTCAACTCAGCAAGTAATACACAGGTACAGGACAGCTAGGAAAAATTTTATTTATAATCAGTTACGTTAAAGAAAATATTGTGCACAGAAAAGAAATAAAAATCAAATATCTAATAGAATCTAACAAAGTGTTTTGTTTTTCTGACTATGATTTTTAGGCCACCTTGCAGCTCAGAGAGCCGGAGGGCAGTTGGAAAGCTGCTGAGGATATCGCAGGGATGAAAGCAACCGCCTGCCCTGATTGGACCAGATACACAAACATTTCTTTTGCACAGCCCCGACATTTTTAGTGGGAATTGAACAGAAGTGGACTTAAACAGTCGGCCAATCAAAGGGGAAAATCAACGAAGAAAAAAAAAAAAAAGTAGATCTATTTTGATAAGAACCAACATCCCTCTCTTACTCTCCTTTTCAACAACACTTTCCCTCCCACCTTCACCCCACCCCTAATCATAGTATGATGTGACATTGCATTGCATGTGACTGGGATTATTTTCACCTCCTTTTCGAGTTCCCCATTATTTTAGAGTCTGTTTCATTCTTGGTGTACAGACGTCAGCAGGCCTCGTTTGCACTGAAACTTTTAGAATAACTTCTTACTGGTTTTCAGAGCTACAGGAAAGTGAAACGCTGACGGGAAGTCGGTCCGAACTGCACTTGAAAGCTAACATAGATGACCATTTCATTAGGAAATTATCGAATTTATTATTGGAAACGGTGCCTTCCTCACATAACATTGAACATCGTCCATCTAACTTGATCAGGTGTCATTCTTCTATTCCAATTGATCAATAGTGTGTGTGAAATCATGGAAATCTCCATGAAGTGTTTCGCTATCTAGTTGTTTGGTAGCAATAAAGACAATGACAGTTCCACGGCAATACTGAGAACAAAGGTGACAAACTCAGAGCATGGTAATTTCTTATTTTTCCTTTTTCCTTACCTTTTTTTAATTTCATTTCCTTTTTTCTTTTTTTTTGAATGAACTAAACATTAAACACGAGCCGTACTTTTATGACTTTACAAGTTTGACACCCAATGGGCACCTCTTTCAAAGGCTTTTTGTTTTCTCTAGTGGTCGGTTTGACCAGTTATCTACCTCACGGTTTCGCTGGACTCGGCTGGTGCTGTCGGGTTTGCAGGTAAAGCCCCTTCGCGCCAGACTGATCGCTGCAAACCAGAAGCCACGCTCAGGAGCTGGCTAAATAGGACTTCTGCCGTTTGTCTCCCATGTGCAGCATTCCTCCTCTTAATCATCAATATGGGGAAAAAGATGCTTTTTAAAATTTATCCCAATTTGTCTTTCCTTTTATTGTGTTTTTTTTCCCCATAACATGACAACCAATGCTCCATTTTAGAAACTCATAGTTTCTCTGTAAAGCAGTTACTATTTTGTTAGATATTTCACATTTCACCTGCTTACTGTAAAGATAAAACATGCCAAACCATTTAGATGAGCGTAAAAAAACATAAAAAATAAAACAATCAGGAATAAAGTACTGAAAAAAAAAGTTATCTTTATGTAGTTTGATGGTTTTTGAAATTGAATAGCAAAACTATATTTCTTAAAATCTGCAAGCTACTTCCTTACTGCGAGGGCCAAAAGTAAAAAGCAGAGTAGTTTCACTTCTTCGTTGTTCTCTTTTTTCCTTCTGGATGAATTTCTGACGAACAATCATCTGGAAAGAGGAAAAAAGGTCAAAGCAAAGTACCATTGTGGTGCTTCCTCCTCAGCTGCTCTGCTTAAAACAGTGGGAGGTGAACACAGACAAATTACAGCCGGACATTTTACTGAACGTACTTTTCTTTTCTGAAGATTTGTTGCTGGGAAAAAAAAGTAAAAAAAAAAAAAAAAAGAAACAAAAAAAACAACAACTTGTTTTTCTCCTTGCCTCCCTCCTGTAAAAAAAAAAAAAAAACAACAACTTGTTTTTCTCCTTGCCTCCCTCCTGTCACCATCTACCGATTCTCAAGCAACCCTCTCCTTGCTCCTTTGGAAACATTGAATTAAAAACAATAAAACATTCTTCTCTTTCTCAGATATCATGGCTTTTTTTTGACCAGCTTCTTTGCTACAGTTGTACTTTACTGTCAGTCAGGTTTAGACTTAACTGCAGGCAGGCGCTTGATTGAGCAATTGATTGAGCAATTGAGCATGATGTTGTTTTAATACGGTAAAGCAGAAAAACGTACATATGATATGGAAATGAAACCAAAAAGTACAGAAGAGGTAACAGTAACACAATAATCCAGCAAAGATTGATGAAAACCAGAAAGCTTATAGTCATGGTGAATGTAGAGGAAAGGGCATGGGGAGCAGGTGAGAGCAATCAGGTGAGAATGAGAAACAGCTGAGGAGAATTAAGGTGATGAGCTGAGGGAGGGCGAATAATTAACAAGGTAAAAAGGG